CTACAACTTATGTAGTAACCTTTCACGACGAAATTTTTCTCTAACCAGCACAATACCCCTACTGTTAAAAAAAACCATAGGCATGTAAAACCTACATATATGGGTAGTTTCAGCTTTGACATAGGAAACAGCTAAATGTACTATTGCGAAACCATTACCCCAAAATTAAATTCACCTTTGTTTTCACTAACACTAACAATATTGCCAAATTTCTAAAAAACCAATGAGATGTAACTCATATGTTCTAATGCTGTATATCTATTTACCTGTCCTTGCTGCCAAGCTCGGTACGTGGGATCTACCTCACGATGGCTACGACATGATCTTAGAACACAAGGCAAACCCGTCAGGACTGGCCTCCCTCTGAGTAATCCATCTTTCTCAGCAATAAGAGAACATTCTCAATTTCACTCACCTCCTTTCCGGAACACAGATTTCAGTATTCTATCCTCACACTCTTCCCGCCTTGACCTCATTTCAGAATCCCTGCTTATACATAAGATGAACCCAGAACTAAACAACTCAACCACCGCAACCACCTTGTTCACCCAATAGACACACAGTTTGGTTCGTTTACCCCTTTTATTTATATTGTATGCTATTTTTCCGTTTATGTTATTCTCCACTTATATTTCCTAGTATAATTTATGTATTCTTTTGCCTTACTTTTATGTATATATTTTTCATGTTCACCATAACTATAATTTGACCCCAATTCAGAACTATTTTTACGCATTATTATTGTCTATCTGACTTTTTGTTCTCTTTTAACAGTACTGATGATGGAGGTATAATTTCCTTCGAAACGTCTAATAAAACATGAAACTCTTCATCCTTATGATACGGAACCTCAATGGTAAACCTATTACTAAATATATTATATATATATATATTATATATATATATATATATATATAAGAGGTATTAACAGGCCTCTTTATATATAGTGTAGTTGAATTACAGGTGGCGTTTGTGATACACTTTAGTGGCTGTTCCCTTTATTTCTAAGAGTTACAAGCGCTGGATATACTGACACAAGAATAACGATACAAGAAGAAGTGCTGTGTGTGAACACTCCGCCAGCCTTGGATAGGCAGCGGCCGGGGGCCGCGAGCGGCAGCTCAGGTCAGAAGCGACCACAGGAAAGGTCGCTGAAGGTGTAAGAGTGGGTCATGATTTGGCCTCCCTTTAATCCGGCCAGAGGCGGCGCAAACAGGCGTGGGTGAAGCGAGGGGCAACCAGCATGGGCATGGGCACGCACCACGTGGTATAGATAGGACACACATGGGAAGTATGCTATGCTATGCTATATTCTATATCGCTCGGCCACCTCCTACACCTCGTCCTCGTAGCGTCATCTGAATCACTTCAAGGGTGACCTATCATCGTACTCCATCTGCTGATAATCTCGTCACGTTCCTGCTCTCGGTCGTCCTCATGCATCTCTTCGTTGTCGGCCTCTTCATCTTGGTCTTTGGTGCATCCGTTATCGTCCACATGTCCTCGAAGGTTTCGCTGAAGTCCTCCTTGACTTTGGTTCGTCCAGTCGTCCTCGTAGTCCTTATCCAGGTGGTACTCGGCGGCGTCAATCGTCCACACGTCCTCGCAGATTCGTTCAGGCCTTCTCGGCAGCGGCTCGTACCGACGTCCTTGTAGCCTACGTCTGTGCCTGGCGTCCTTTCGTCTGAGGGCAGCTTACTCCTGCACTGGGGAGCTCCTGGAGTTTAAACCGATCTACGGGCGTCCAGGCAGGCGGCTTTTCATAGCATCATGGGGCCTGCTCTGACGAGTTGCTGGTTCTTCACTGGATCTACAGGAGTCCTGACAGGCGGCGCCTGTCTACTTGATCTGGGTGGCTTAATACCTGCAATCACGAGTCCTCGTCCTTTGGCCTGCGGCGATCTTCTGGCAATGTTCGTCTCACGGCATTGTAAGGCGATTGTGCTGCAATTAGATCTTGATGCCGTGTCGGATATGCACATCCATTTTATACATCATCAACCAGTTTATACATGTAAGGGCCAAGATAGTAAGACAAAAAGAAAGACAACAGAGAGGGATGCTATTTAACTGCTGTTAGCCGTTATTTTTATGCTAATTTGCAGATTTTAATGTGGTTATTTAATTTATTTTTTTTTTTTTTTTTTTTGTATTTTTCAAGAAAATAATGAGGGAGAAGAGAGTAGCAGTTTCTCATGAACTTGCTTGATATAAGATATAAGAATAGATAAGGGAAATGAAATCGGCATCTGCAAGGATAACTTGAACCGACTGTCATTTCAGAGAGAAGAAAAAATATGTATTGTGCATTTCCACTAATCACGATCAGCAACGCCACAAGGCAAAAGAATAGCTTTAGACTACAACAACAAATCTTATAGATGTAGATTTGATTTAACATTGTTGAACTGCGTGGAAGAGTGTGTGAAATGATTGTGTGTATGTTTAACTCATCACGGCAACATTGTGGGTAAAAGAGATAACCTGCAATCATTCACAA